CCGGAATTTTTGGATGCTGTGTTTGGGGAACGGCTTTTCCCACCTCAACCATGGCTCCGGATGAGGGGACTGCCTCCAACACCGACGCAAAGGTATCCGCCCGTTGCTCCGCAGAGCGTGCTTTCTGGTCCATTGCCGCCTCCCTTACCTATCCCTGCTGCGGCGTCTAGTTACATTAATTCACCCCCGCCTGGTAGTACTGATATGAGCAGTCATGCTAGTAAGAGGGAGCGGAGGAGGGCGGAGAGGAGGACGGTGTCGAGGCAGGGGAGGCATAATGTTGAGTTTACTTGAGGGGTTTTCTGAGGTTTTTTTTTTCCCCTCTTGAAGTGATGATATCTGTTGTTTTATCCATCATTTGGTTTTCATGTTCTTATATCATTGCTTCATGTCTCATGTCTCATGTTCGATTTTTTGTATTGCGATGTGATTAGATCTATCCCTCATGATTAATAACTTTGTTGTATGTACAGTATTGTACAAATCTTTTTCTCCAGCATTCAATGTTTATATTTACTGCTGATTATGCTTTGATTTTGTTGTATGTACAGTATTGTACAAATCTTTTTCTCCAGCATTCAATGTTTATATTTACTGCTGATTATGCTTTGATTTTGTTGTAATGTTCTGGACTTTGCTTGTTGCAACAAATGCAGTGCATGCTCAACCTATCAAACATCATGTCATGTATTGTTTTTCTCTATATACGTTGTTCAAGGTTCTTTGGTTCTCTACTGTTTTGGACAAGGGCAGGAAAAAGGACAACTTTCCTACTCTCTTCTCTCATCTTGATCCTTTCAAACCTAATATCTCTGCTGAGGAGGTAGCTGTATTGAGCAGGATGTTATGTTCTTTCTCTTTCTTTCATCTTATCTCAAAATTTCACATCTCACTCTCTTCTTGAGTTCTACATTCTTAACAGATGTTGGTCATTTTCTTCTTCTTCTTCTTCTTCTTCTGCTGCTGCTGCTGTTGCTTTTTCATTTATCTTTTTTTCTTTCTTTTAATGATTGGTAGAACTCTTTTGATATTCACATCATGTTCTATATCACCTTCAACTATGTATTATGCCCATGTTGTTTTCTTTTTCACTCCCCACATCCTATTACCAACTCATGCACTGCATAGAGGGTAGCACTGACCATCACTTGTTGATTTTATTTTCTTCTAGTTTATTTCATTATATTTGCTTTGATTTTGTTTCTGCGTCCGCTGTGCTTTGTTGGTTTTCTATATAGAGTTATCAGCTCTTTATGCATCATTGTTGTGAATTCAATTTTATTTGAGATAATTGCTTTAGATATGATGAAGAGGCTGATATAAGATACATTTTGACTTGATGCTTTTCCATTTTTGAAGACAGGCCACTTTGCCAAATGGAATGGGGGAAAAATATGATGAGGGAGATGAAAGAGTGTAAGCAACTGCTCTAGAATGACTGATTCATGCCCATGAGTATTGAAGGGAGGCATAGACAGGAAAGCCATAGATCTCATATACATAAGTAATCTACACTTTTCTCAGTAAAATATTGCATTTCAACACTTACTGCTGTAAAACTATTTTAAAAAGAAAGATTTTAAAAATAATCATCACACCAGAAAGAACCGATGATAAATTATGAGGCATTATAAGAAAGTTAAGTTTTGAAATGTTCTAAAAGAGCAAAGGCTGTTATAATTCTACACATAAGCATTGAGAAATATGGCGGTGATCTGGCATGATGGGTGAAGGATCAGGTTGTATATGTACATAAAACAAATTTATTTCAAAGCAGCCTGCAGGCTCTCCAGCACCTATAACAACTAGTCAGCAGCAATTCAGTAGCGACGAATGACGAAATAAATGCCATCATGTCCATACCTCCAACTCAATCTTCGCCTCAGCGATATCTTGCTCGCTGCCACTGCCGCTGGCGATTCTCTGTGCTTCAGCAATCTGTGATTTCACGGCCTGACAATGAAATTTCATTAGTACTTCTTAACTGCTAGAGTGGCTCGGGATACAGGTAAGCTAATTGTGCCTCACCTCTGCGCTGAATTGATCAAGGGTGTAACCTTCGACGGCATTGATGCTGAGCTGGGAGTTGGGCTGGACGATAGCGAAGCCACCAGACACTAGTAGAACAAAGAGAATATGTGTATTAGAGACGTAATACTGAGAATTTTGCCTTCCTAAAACCTTGCCAACCGCTCAATGGTTTGATGATGGCATACGGAAGAATTGCTTGGTTCCTCCGGATTCCTCGATGATCTCAACGAGGCCGGGCTTCAGTTGTTCGATGGATGGGACGTGGTTTGCAAGAATACCCATCGCGCCAGATTCGGCAGGAATGTTGACTTGGATACTGTTGGTTTTCCGGATAACATCGCATGGTTAGTTCATTTTGATATTCGCGAGGGATGATTTTTTGCTGTAGGAGTTAGCTCTCGAGCGGGAGCCGCGGGAGGAAACCTACACGTCTGTCGATTTGTAGATGCTCTGCACACCGGCGATAGTCAGTAGCAGCTCCAAGGATGAATCGCAATCTATGCAATTAAGATAATGTTGATTGTGGGCCGGGGAATATACGTACCTCATGTGGGAGGACAAGGGAGAGTTTTATTTTGTCGGCCACAGCATCGGCATATGCTCTCCACTGGAGGGGGGCTCTGACTGCGGCAGGCCTTGCCCGGAGAGCAGCCCGAGCGATTCTAAGAGAGTTCATGGTGCAATTGGCGGATGGAGAGGCGTGGCAGGTGGAGAAGCGAGACTTGAAGCAGGACAGCAAGTTGGAGATTGTCGAGTTGGGAGTTCGGGAAAGGCACAAGAGGCTAGTACTGATCTGGATAAGCTGACACGTGATCATGGTTATCTCGTGACGGAAGAAGGACATATGGAATTCAGAAAGAAGATACAGATGTATGAATGGTTCTCTTGAGTGTCACTTAAGTTGAGATAACTCAGTTCAGAATGACAAAATAACATGCGTCTGCTGCATCCAAATCTCCCCGATATACTCCTTCAGGGAGGATTGACAGAAATATCAAGCATTGGTTTTTACTGTCAAGTTACAGGTTGAGTGAACATATATATACAATAATGAGAAGTCTCGCGTGCGTCTACATCATCCACAGGGGTTGTAATCGTCGAATTGATATCAAATACGGATCCTGTTGTAGTCGTCAATGCTGTACATTGTTTGAAGCTGAGACCCTTAAGAATTTGCCTTGATAAAATCAGCCCACGTGACTAAGCGAGATCCCACACAAACCCTAAACGAGCGCATCTTCGTCGTCTGGCAGTTCAACCTCAAGTCACCTCCGCCGCTTCGACACCAACAGCTCTTCTGTTGTGACAATCCCGTCAAAAATGGCCAGTATGTAGCCCTCCTGATATGTCTCCTGTCTTGCTTATGACTGGAAAGACAGCCCGTGTTTGTCAGTTCCTGAGCCCGGTTTCGCTGATAATTTTTCAACCCTCAAGAGTCAAAGAACAGCTCGCAGCACAACCGGAACGCAAAAGCCCACCGAAACGGGTATGTGAATACCTTGTTTTCCAACTCGGAACCCCGCTATGCCCGTTTTGACTCTCACACTTGGACAAAAATCGACTTACAGAGCACTCCAAACCATTCTACTTCTACACTATCTGACCGGACATATACTGATATTGGACCTCTTTTAATCCCACAGGATCAAAAAGCCAAAGACTCACAGATACCCCTCCCTCAAGGGCACAGATCCTAAGTTCCGACGGAACCACAGACATGCTCTGCACGGCACTATGAAGGCGCTGGTATGTGTTCGCCTTTGTTCATATTCTCATTGAAATATCGAATTCGTTGGGAGATATGAAAAGCACACCATGAAGCTGACAATTTATTACAGAAAGAGGTTAAAGAGGGAAAAAGAGAATCTGCATAATCCGTTTCTTTTTTCTTTTTTTTCTCTTTTTTTTTTTGTGGGTTCTCCGGGTTAAGGTCCAGTTTCCATATCCTATGTGTCATGTCGATAGATCCTTGCAAATCTGGCTGCGAATCGGGAAAAATCATGAAAAAGCTTTGAAAGCCTTTCTGCGGATTTATCTTTTCTGGGTCCACTACTTATCTCCTGTTGGGAAGAACAGATATTTACGCGAATGGAGGTGGTTTGTCTCATCCCTAGGCGGCATATGAAGGTTTGACGATTAGGGACAGCCCTCTCTCAATTTGACAATAGGTAGATCCATTTACAATGTTACAGAACCGAAAATTTTAATGTCGTTTAATGTCTCTGTCCCATATCTGGCTTCCTTTTTTTTTTTTTTTTTGTCTTTTTGTTTCGTGAGAGAGAGTGTGTGTGGGAACTACTGCGAATATATCCTACTTCCTATCCCCTCAGTCAATGCCCCTTTCCGAATAGTTATCTTTGCGATTTCTCGTGCTACCGTACTGGGGTACAACAGGCATATGTGTGTACAGCAGTGGTTATTTTTCCCCCATGTCCAATTGCTGAAGGATTATTATCTATTCGTGCCGATATTGAATTATTCTGCCGTCTAATTACCAAACACCTCTTTCCTTGCTCCCCATGGTGTGAAGGTGCATGGACAGACGGCTACATACATATTCTATAGTGTTATGGCTATTGGATTAGAGTCTTTTGTATTTGTGTTCTTATTGCTGTTTATATTTTTAGTATTCATACAATCACAGCGGCTAGTCTCTACGCTGCGATTCAAGTTAGTTCAACAATGGTCTCTATACTGTCGAGGAAATTTGATTTCATTCAGACTTTACTCGATACAGATTTCATCTCCCTATCATTCACGATCCAACCTTCCAAACAATCAGCCTTTTATCAAATCCCCCGCTCAAAACCAATTCCCCACCTCCAGCCTCTCCTTCTTGCTCACTCACCCAACCAGCCCATAGAGTCCTGACCTTAGAACCAGGCTCATGCCCGCCCTCTAATTTCGTAGTAAGTCTCCCTGTCTTAGCTTCAATGCCTCTAATCACCCCATCATCTCCATTCACCCAGACCCCAGACCCATCTGGTCTCCATACCACCTGTGGAATCGAATACGCTGTCTGTGGAGCCAATGTGTTGACCTGGACGACGATTGCAGAATCCTCTCGATTCTGGATAGTTAGCTCTGCTAGTGCTTGCGAGGCTTGCGTCTCCGCACGGGCCCGAACCGCTTCGGATGCAGTTGATGGTATGAGGAGCCGGACCATTATTAGTTTCATATGCGGCTGGGAAGAAGTTGCGACGGCAAGGAGGCCCGGGTCCCGCGGGCTAATAGCGAAGCATGCTGGGGAGAACGCAATCCAGGCGTTCGAATGTGGTGCCAGGTTCTGCTTGCCGAGAAGTGGGCATTCATACAGCTTTGCATGGCTACTGTCCCGTTTCTCCAACCTTGTAAGGGGCGATTCGACAAGGTAGTAATATAGATTTGTAGAGTCACGTCGCGAAGCTAGAAGGACCAAGTCTCCTGTATCCCGATTACGGATGAAAAGAATGCATTCTGGTATCGTGGCTGTTTTGATAACTGCCAGCGGCTCCCCAATCGAGGGTTGTGCACCTATATCCGGTGCAGTAATACGGTAGATATATACTCTCGAGTCCCAGCCTGCTGTTGCTAACCATGTCGTTTGCACTTCTGGCGGTTCTTCCTGAAAGCTGACCACGCTCACGGCATACTTGGTATGATCCTTTCTCGAGTCCAAGATTTTCGGTCTTGGCCCTTGGAATAGTATTAATAGTCCAGACATCGTCGTCATGGCTCTGTACGCTCCACCATATAGAGAAACGCAGCTTAGAACCGGGGAATCTGTTACATTTTCACATGTCAAAGCGACGTGGTAACAAGGGCCAATATCAATGAGGCTCAGGCGCTTGTCTGCCCCTGTGTATACGATTCCCGATGAGACCTCTGGGTGGCCATCTTCAGATGTTTTTATGTAAGGTTGAACAGAGACCGAAAGGATATTTGCTTCACTTGGAGTTTCAATAGGTATTGGTATCGATGGTGCTGGGCGTTGATTTTAGTAGGTATCGGGATATAAACAATATGAACAGACAGGAACAAGCAAGTCGTAAGCCAAAGGAAACACTTGAACTTGAAAAAGGAGACAAAAAGCAACATCATCATGAATGAAGGGCACTTTTATCTCTGCTACATCAAGGCTGTTTCGAAATTCCAGCCTCCAAAATACAAGTTCGATACACTCAACAGGCTCCAGATCAAGAGATAAAATCCTAAAAAGAACCCAAAGCAAACATATTCATCCAGAGGAAAAAAGGGACTTATAGTAATAATGAAGCATCCCAAAAAATCCAATTTTCTCCAAAAGTAGATTCACTCACCAGGAGACCTCCACCTATCCTCCAGCGCCGCGTCTACACTGCCAAATCTTTCTAGTTCCAAAGTCTTATCAAAAACCCTCTTTTCCTCCATTATTTTCTCAATAGTCCAATTTTCATTTTCAGGCTCAGAAACCAAAGACCCCGCCTCTGCTGGTAGGCCTGCTTCCTCGATAAATGCTGCCAACGTTTGCGAGTAGTTGTTGGAACTGAGAAATCGCGCCACTAGGATGCGAGGCGACAATGAGGATGAAGATGGAATTGGAGGCATTTAAAATTTATACTCGATGTAAAACACTCTCTCAATTATATATATTTGCCTCCCCTATATATTCTGGTGAAAAGAATCTTTAGTAGAGTGAGAGTTTGGATCTTGACGTTGCTGATCTAAATAGGAGGCATTCAGAGGGGAAATCCCAACCGGTAATTTAAAGTGGAATCATACCCCAACTATTGGATACAAGTTGGGAGGTGAGTTTAATCCATATGAATTCTGACGTCAATAACGACTTCACTGTCGTAAGATTACGGAATCAAAAATTGGTTGTTCTATTTACAGATTCATGGGATTTCAGTGTAGAAGACATGGGGTGGAAGAAGGGGTTTGAAAAGGAACTTTTCACAATAATGTAAATCCCAACTGAGGGGCGCATTAAATCCAGCAATTCAAAAAATATCTTCTGACTTTTGAACTCATCCACTTCAACACGCATTTGTACCATCAATTTGCAAGAAAAATGCAAGAAACTCTATACAAATAGACGGAAGTTAAAAAGCAAGAAATATTTTTAATTCATACATAAGGTGCATATTTATTTGATATGTCACTCTTTTTTGTTGCATTTTAGACTTAATGACCAGTCTTTACAGATGAATTTACATGCAATATCACAAATAAATTGAGATTAAAGAAAATATACTAGTTTATTAAATTTTAAATCTGAATAAATAATAATTACTTATCTGTTAACATTTATTGAGAATACAATTAATTGTTTTACTTAATAATATTTTATTTTATTTCTTTTTATAATGAAAAGAACAGAGTTTAAGAGTTAATTAAATAAACTATGAAGCTTAACAATTATTATTTTATATTAAATTTTCTATAAAGATTAGTATTATATTTTAAAAATATTATTTATATTATATATTATTAAAAATTAATATAAATATAAATAATTATTAATTATTATTATAAAATAAATAATATTATAAAAATTATATATAAAAAATATATAATTTTAATTAAAATAATTTATAAATATTTAATATAAAAGTTTAATTTTATTTTTAAAAATATTAACTATTAATTAACTAATTAATTAGTTATTAAATACTTAATTATAAATATTAAATTTAATATATTTTATTATTAAATAATATTATTAAATAATAAATTTTCTTTAAAATTATTATATATTTAATTTAACTATATTAGTTTTTTATATTTTTCTTTAAATTATTTTTATTTTAAAAATTTTATATATAATTAATTATTATTTTATATAAATTAAAAAAATATATTAAAAATTAAAGTTTTAAAAATATATATAAATAATTATAAATTATTAAAAATTAAAAATAAACTTTTTAAAAAAATTATAAAATAATAAAAATTAATATATAAAACTATTTAAAATATAAATTTATAAAAATAATATTTAAAACTTTTAATTAAATTAATTTTAAAATAAGATTTTATATAACTTTTAAAGTTATTATTTCAACTAAGTACAATAAAAGATAATATACAATTATTCTAAAAAATAATAAATAAATTATAATTATTGAATATATATAATTAAAAAAGTATTTTATTCTTCTTCATTATTAAAAAATCAAGATTCTATAAATAAAAAATAAGTAAAAAATAAAAAAAATACAGTAATCTGCTAATTTATATCAAAATACTATTATATTTATACAAAAAGATTATAAGTGTATTCAACAGCTTAATATATAGCTTGAAGTTCAGATTGAAGCTATATTTCTGCAGTAAGTTTCATCATACTGTAGTGATTATGAGACTATTAAATATACTATACATAGTTACTTTAATAAATAACTATATATTGAATTATTAGATGTCACAGCTTCAATCTAGATGCAGATGAAACAGATATTCAATTGTCAACTAAATAAACTATATGAGTGAATACTAAAATGATTTCTAAAAGATAGATTTAAAAAAGACTTCATTTATATAGTTTTTTTTTCTTAATGCAATTGCTAGGTAATTGCCATATTTATGTGTTATTCATATGTAAGGTAATTGCAGATATAAGGGGTTGAACCTCTAGATTTGCTCTGGCTGGCTGACTCAGCCTAGCCATCGTTCGCACGTGCGCACGTGATCATGCTACGCGAGCTTGCTTAAGCTCGAGTTCTCATCTCATTCTTTTCTTCCCTTTCTCAAGCAATTTGTCCTTGTTATATAGGAGGACTAGCCTCTAGTTCTTAGAGCTTAACCCTTTACAGCAGAGTTGTTTGCTATTGTCTAGACAGTTGCAATTATCAATCATCTCAATATGTATGATTACACTTTTGAGAAAATTAAATATAAGCCTGTTCTATAT